TTGTACTTCAATTTTTTTTTTTTTTTTTTTATAGAGAGAGAGAGAGAGAGAGAGATGACTAAGGGCGGGTTTGCATATATATATATATATATATATATAAAACATTTAAGTATGCAGATACTTAAGTATCTTGTCATGGTATGTATGAACAGATAAAACACTTCTATTTGTCATTCTCTGACTTGATTTCTTCTAAAATGCAGCTAGAGAATGTTTTGATTGATGCTAATGGAAACATAAAGATAACAGATTTCGGCCTCGGTGCATTACCACAACATTTTCGGGTATAATGACAAAATTTCCAACTCTTCTTGCTTATCTCTTCTCCTATCACTTAATTATTTTTTTCAAAAAAAATAAAATTAGGATGATGGATTGCTGCATACAACTTGTGGAAGTCCAAACTATGTTGCGCCTGAAATTCTTTCTAACAGGGGATACAATGGTGCCACATCAGATACGTGGTCATGTGGTGTTATCTTATATGTAATTCTGACTGGGTACCTACCTTTTGATGATCGAAATCTGGCAGTACTCTATCAGAAGGTAGACCCTTACATCCAAGGCATTGTGATTTTCTTTTTCTTCATGTGTGAGAAATCTTCAATGTGTAATCTTCAATTTGCATATCAGATTTTTAAGGGGGATGCTCAGATACCCAAATGGCTGTCCCCAGGAGCTCGATACCTAATAAAGAGGATTTTGGATCCCAATCCTTGTACTCGGATGACTTTGGCTGAGATAAAAGAAAATGACTGGTTCAAACAAGACTATGTACCTGTAGATCCCATTGAAGATGATGAAGAAGAAAATGTGTACTCGGATGATGAAGTATCATCAATTCATGAGCCAGTAAGAACTTATCCTTTATTACTATCCTTCCGTGGCTTTTTCATTAATTTTGCATTAAAATTGATAAGTTCTATCTACTACACAGCCCTCAGATGCAGAAAAAGATCCAGATTCACCCACCCTCATCAATGCCTTTCAGCTGATTGGAATGTCGTCATGTCTAGATCTCTCTGGATTCTTTGAGAAAGAGGTAGGAAAGTATTAACGGATATCAAAATTATTACATACATCAACGAATGAGACATCCATTCATACAGAATTGACATAATGAAATTCATAAATGAAAATTTATTTTATGTGTTTACTTCAGGATGTTTCTGAAAGGAAAATCAGATTCACATCGAGTCACTCCCAACGAGAATTGCTTGAGAGGATAGAAATTATGGTAACACATATGGGATTTCAAGTCCAGAAGAAAAATGGAAAGGTTAGTATTATCTCCACTTTTTCCCTCAGCAAATCTGTTCTTGTAAAAATTGAATGCCATCAAATTTGCAAGTGCGGTGGAAATTGAGTAGGTATCTCCATCTGTGACATTAATTTCTAGGAGATGTCATCCCATCAAGTTTTGCTACTTACATAGTTGTGTCGTCACTTTATGTAGTTGAAAGTAATGCGAGAGTACAAAGGTCAGAAAAGCCCTGGTAGTCTGTCTGTAGCAGCAGAAGTAAGCATTATTCATAGTGACAATACTTTAGCACATGACATTATTGTTCTAAATTTCAACCTACGCCAATAATTTTCTTCTCATTGCAGGTATTCGAGATAAGCCCATCTTTGCATGTAGTTGAGTTGCGAAAATCGTATGGTGATCCTATATCATACCGACAGGTAGTCCTCGAGTAGTCATCTCTATACCCACTTTTCATGGCCTGTGTAATTTTCTGACGGTTGGGGCATCTGGTGGGTTTTGCAGCTGTGCGAAAAGCTATCTAGTGATTTGGGTGTACCACGAAGCCAGGAGCATCTAGCCACGGATCTACAACAATTGGATAGATAACGACGATGCCAATAAATCAGTTTGTCGAGGAATATTCATCATTTGAAGTACCTAACTTCATTTATTCTATTGTTTCTGTCCAATGACTTGAAGAATTTAGCGAGCTGCTTGGCCGAGAAAACAAAATGCCGGGAGTCATGTCCCCACAAATTAGTTGATGCTTATTTCTTAGATATCGTCATTATTTTTTCCCGAAAAAAAGTTTACAATCTATGAACCTTCTACCTTCACGCAACATTGCTTCGAAAACAAGAAGTAGGATTTTCAAAAATGCCGAGGTCGTGGGTGGGCAAGAGGTCCCACCTAAGACTTGTGACATGAAGAAATGTAATTAATTTAAATCAATATTTTATTGAATTCATCATTTTTTAACTACAATAAAGTGTATTAAAAAGCTGATTTTAACGTGTTTCTATTGGTTAATAAATAGATGGAAGTTACCAGCTTTTATTTTTTTTTTAAACCTTCAATATTCTTTTGAAATATTGAAACCACGAACCCCTTTCCTTCCCCGATCAAGACGCGCGTAGAATGCGATCCCAATGATGAAAAGTAGAGAAAAATAGGTTTCCTAATTCCCTGATTCGATTTGTGATAATGATGCTGGCTGCTTCCAGAGTCCTCATTAATCGTATCTCACATTCGCCACCAGCAATGACAGCTGCAGTTTGCTAAAGGATACAGTAAAGAACGCTCATTGGCGGAGCCTTTAGTGGAAGAGGGGCAATGATTCACGAATCATCAAAACAGAGCCCGGTGTAATGACCAGATCCAACAACGAATTTAATGGAGCGACAAAAAGGAATTGTGCATACGACTCCAAATTCAATGGGGGAAAAGCTTAATTTGCTATTCTTGTTGTTCAACTCGTTAAACATATAGATTATGAAGTCGACAAGTTTTCCTGTGCAGGCGGTCTTAGTCACTTAAACCGTTAAACGTGCCTATTTTAAAGGTTAATTAGACAACTTTAGTTTATAAAAATTCAGCCCAAACACGTGCCATGGTGGGGGATTTAGCTGGCTTTACCTGTAGATTAATAACTTTTTATGGCGGTAGCCAGGGCGGGTGTGGACAGAAGAAGGAGATGCATTTGACGAAGCTTGAAGTTGCCCATGAAGAGGAAGCTGAGGGAGTTCCCGGTACCCTTCTTCCAGTTGGTACGTGCATTGGTGTCCGTCATTTCGTTCCGGGGCCATATGTGGATGTCGCATAACTAACGGAAAAGATTTTCAGTACGCAATTTTTATATTTCTTGCTATCGCTATAGTGATTATGCAAATGAATTTATGTTTATGGAAGCCATGTTCTGTTCTCAAGTATTTTCCTTCTGTTGTATCATATGACAATATTTTCATGTTCTTCTGTTTGCAGGGTGGAATGAAAAGGTGAGGCTTTAAAAGTATGCCGGCATCTCATGTGCCCCCTTATCACACTGAAATATTGGTTCCACTGGTCAGAGAGATGCTCCTGGAAAGGTGTGCAACAGTCCTCGTACTGATGAAGTTCATTTTCTTTTTCCATGGAATCTGATTTGTAGTTGCTCATCCACCTGTAACCCTTTAGATCTTTTCTAAATGTGATACTGAATTTCCATTTAACTTCCGTTGCTCGTTTTCCACTTGTAACCCTTTAGATCTCGTTGATTCTAATTGTGGAAGAAAACCTACAATTATCTCTCCTTCTACGGAGTGATCTAATTGCCTGTAAATTGAAAATAAAGGGTGTGATTGCACCAAATTGATGTTTAACAATCTAGGTACACATACGATTGATTTTCAGTAAGGTGAAAGTTTGGTGAGTTTCGTTGCAATTTTAAATGAGCTGACGTGAAAAACTTGTCTGATACATTGGCACATAGTTAGTTTTGACGAAAGTGTTAGCAATATCATCGATGGAATCCAATAGAGTGATCTAATTGCTCATAAATTAAAGTATAGTGATCGAATTGTACCAAATTGAAGCTCAGTGACTTATTTACCCATAAATATTGGTAATAGTAGGTACCTACCCCAGGAAAAAGCCAAAGAAAATTCAACTATCTCTGTATCGCACTCTCTCTGGATTCTGGATTTTCGCCCCCTTTAAGTTTATACCAAAATCTGCAAATCCCAAATGCAAAGACTGCAAAAGTGATGGGGATTACAAAGCAAACGGATTGCCGGGAATGCGGGTCGGAGGATCCGATAACCCTGCACAACCTCTGGTACCGGGGCATCTACAGCCAGCTATGCACGGCGTGCGTTCTAGCCCACCACGTGGCGTTCTTTTGCCCCATCTGCTTCGATGTCTACGAGGATACGAAGCTCCCTCCACCGCACCTCCGCGTCATGTGCCTCCGCTGTCCCGCCGTAGCCCACATCTCTTGCGTTCACTCCCTTCCTTCTTCTTCTTCGTCCTCCTCGACTCGCTATCACTGCCCTCGATGCTCCATTCCCAATTTCACTTTTTTCAATTTGAATGCCAGCGATGTTCAAAATGGCAATTTGATTACTAAGGATTTAGCCAAGCAATTCGTGGCCGCAGCCAAAATTGCTTTGATGTCAATGAATAAGGCAGCCGTTATTGCGAGGGAAAATGCAGAGAAGAGAGCTTCGGAGGCCGTGGTGGCTCGAAAGAGAGCTAAAGAGGCATTGGACAAGGTCGCTTTTTTGATGCTCAAAGAGGCGGAGGAGGATTCAAGATCATCATCCAATTTATAAAGTAATGCTGGTAGGGTTTCAAGAGATTTTCGATGAACTTAAATTGCAACTACAGCCCTCTTTTGTACTGCTAGTAGTGTATGAATTTTTAATCTCTTTGCTATGAGGTTTAATTTTTCTTTTAGACGCAATGAATTCCAAATTTTGTGGTTAATGTGCTGATTTATGCATCAAAATAATGGGGAAAAAAAAATTGGCATTCTGCTTTGCTCTTCATGGATTAAGAAAACTTGTTTTGTCTTTTGACTCGTGTTTTCAATCACCTGCAGCCAATATGTTGTTTTTGACTTATTTTTTGGTGGGAACAGTAAAAGATTTGCTCATTTCAAATATTGGTTGTGGCAAATATGTCATAGAATCCATGTTATACCATTAGAGAAATCATATTTCTACGGTAAATCTGATTTTTATGATTTTTAATGTCGGTTATGATCATTTTTGGAGTCATCATTTTGGTCTTACTTTATTAATTCAGAGTTTGAATTCAGTCCCGGTAGTTACAGTTGTTGGAATTAGACAACTAGTAGTTTCAGGAATTTAGATTTTAGAATTTTTGTAAGATTAGAGAGTTACTGCTTTTCGTCTACTGTTGTTTAGAAAGTAGAATTTTGATTTATAAAATCCTAGAAATGACATCTGGTTTATGTGTACAAACTACAACTTTTTCTCTCAAAAATTTTTCTTTGTTCCTGGAACTATATTATAGTGTTTACTGAATTTAAAAAATATAGCGGGATCAACTGACAACCGATCCAGAATGCTAATCTCTACGAGCATAAGAGGGAAAGAACATTTATATAGGAAGATGTTTCTGCACACTTTTCTGTTCAGAGCATTGTGTATGCAGTGCCTAACCAAGCAAAGCTTTCTTGAAGAGGCTGGGCTGAGGATAAGGGGGCGTAACTGCACACTTTCGTGTTCAGAGCATTGTCCGAGTGTGTAGGCAGCGCCTACCAAAATAAGCTTTCTTGAAGAGGCTGGGCTGCTGCTTTTTCGACGCCCACCCTTCATTTATTTAGATGTTGAGGCAAGGAAAACCCGAGGAAAGTATGAGTTTGTTCCTAGCTCCATCTCGGTATGATTTAGTCATGAACAAGCGAGGCCTCTTTTAGATTGACCGTTGGCAGATTGAGATTGAAAGCCAGTAGCAACAAAGTGCTTTCACCTCTTGTTATGTGCAGATATTCCAAGTTTTCGCATTTTAGGCAAACAATTAGTAGACTTGTTGTCCCAAGTCTGATGGTGTACAGTGTACTTTTCCTCTAGATGATGTAGATTTTTTGAGAATGTTCGGCTAAGCTTAAAGTTACTGTCATCTATTTTGCTTTCAAATAATGATGCTATTTTTCTTTTTTTTTTTCAAATTGCTTCATTTTACATAGCTCTGTCAAGAATATTAACATTATATCACACACTGCTTTTAAGTGTTAATAGTTTATGCTTGTCATGCATCATTTCTTAGTGTCTCAGGTCATGTTTACTGTCCTATCTTTTTGGTATGCATTCTGTGTTTCCATTAGTTAAAACAGTCGTCTTCTTCCTCTAGAGAAACATCATTAGGACGAGCTTTTTCTGTACCTGATATCCCTATCAATGCGTCCACGTCAGGTAATAGGCACATATATACATGTTACCGATAGTTATGAATGTAACTTCTACTTTGGTGGGAGAGCTTGATTTTATCTTCACCATCTTCCTGGTTTAGGTGGTTTTTATTCTTGATGTCTTGTACAAAAAGATTTGGTTGGGTTTGGGAAATTCGGGGCGAAGATTACCCGTCCAATTTGGGGCAGGTGGGGGACGAGGAATTTTGCCATCACTGTCCCACCTTCCGAAAATTCCTAATTCGTTCTGGTCCATTCGAACCAGATCGTGGTCCAGCCATTTTTATGATTTAGAAATTGTCTATTTTGTTGTGGGTCCTTAATTCATGTACTATGTTTTTAACTTTTTGTTGATGTTTGACCGCAAATATATATAATTATACATATATACCCCCATTCCCATGTGCAATATGTAATGCAAATCACTGTTGTGTTCCGTGTATCGTTTGGGCATGGCTTCATGGACCCATCCATTTACTCTCTCTTTATATTCTGCTTTATCTAATAACTAATTCAAGATAAGAGAACAAATATTATGAAGGAAACGCGTATTTGGTACATCCTTCCTACACAAGTTTTTCTCGTCCATACTATTCACATGACTCTCCAACAAATTTGTTTATTGGAAACCGCCAAATACCTACACTCTCGCCCTTATATGCTTTTATACTTTTATACGTATAATGTATACATCATATTATGATCTTTTACTTCGTGCACTTTAAAACAAGAAGATGATCAGTAGTCTCGTCGTTGCAGATCTTTCTCCATCCGTTGAGATAACCTTGAGCGTATACCTTAATTAAAAAGCAAACATTATTTGGTCCATGTTTCTAAAATTCATCTTTCTTTAAATTCATTTTTCATAATAAATTTTATGCGGTCCACAATTTTTATTAAATTTTCAATCACATTTTATTAATTTTTATTACACTAGACTGGGGCATACTTGGAATTATTGGATTGAAAGCTAAGCTAGTAGAAAAATTAGTTTTACAAGTTTTTGAGAATTGTGTGTGGTCCAAAAAGTCTAGCTAGGCCCCATAATAATCCATGTAGTTTTGGATAGGTATGAATTGATAATACTTTATTGTCCAACAAATTAAACTACTAAAAAGATTTATTAGTTTATACCTACCTTTTCACATAACTACTTATACTTCTTTATTGTATTATTCAACAATTTAATATAAAGGCGAAACAAAAAACACTATTATAGTTTTCGCATATTAGAGACAAAGAGTCGTAAGTTGAGACGTTATAATACACTAATATTTTACAGAAAATTAACATTTTTGTTTTGTTAAGAAACGTAGATAACTTCTTTGAATATGTTTTATAAGTGTCGAGATAAGATCCATCGGAGCTGACTAAGCAACCGATATTCCACCTTCGAGTCGATTGCTGTGTTATAATAGATATGTCAAGTTAACGATACAAACGATAACCGCAAAGTCTTGCACGATAACGTAAACATGAACCACCTATTGAGTATTGACGAGCAAGCCCATGTCAAGGTTTTCGTGAATTTTACAATGATAAGAACACTGCCAAGGAATAGGAATTCAGCTGTAAAAGAAGAGCTTTCCACATGTGTTACAGTGAGATAGCAAAAGACAGCGTTGGCCTTAGATTCCATGAGGATGGCCTCATAATTTAAGATAATAACTGTACTATTTTTACATTTTTCTCTTTTTTTTTAAGATGTATTTTTCTTCCTTACTTTTCAATTACATATTTTTCAATAAAATAATATACACAAAAATTCAAAATTTTCCTTATTTTCTCAATCAATCTACTATTCTAAAATGTATTCTAAACCTTTTAAGAATAGAATAATGCATGTTTCTCTCACAAAGAGGATGAGCCCCGTGATTTTTAAAATTGCGGACCCATCCTCTTACGAGAGGCTGTTACCATTTCTTTTAAAATTGATGCTCCTTGGACAGACTAAGGACACGAAGAAGGGATAGGGTGACGTGACAGATAATAATTTGATGCTGTAATTTTATTTTTTTCAAAATTTTCAATCATATATCGACTCGTCTTCTCTTTATTTTAGAACATGTTTTTGGGATGTGTAGTACAGACCTTTTAATGGGCTTAAACAGGCACTTATTAATATTGTCGTACTGACAAATGTTGAACACTTTTTTGCCCATATTTCATTATTATTTTCTGTTAATTTTCTTATTCGTTGAGTAAAATCTTGTCCGATTTTCTCTGTTGTCCAGCTCTGAATACCCGGCGACGTTTCGATTCTAGCTGCTTGCTTACACGGCTTCGGATAAAAGAATCTCAGTACAAGCTATACTTTCTTCTTATTAATTCTTGCAATTTTTCAAGATCACACTAATAGCTGTAATAAAGATTTACATATATATAGTGGGATTTGATTTTACTGATTTTATGGGTGAAATATTTTGGTAGATGTAGTTGATGTGAATTGGATTCGTTTGTTTCTCTTGTTTTGGTGTGTCGGTGTGCGTTGTTTCCCCATATCTAGCTTAATTATAGGCTAATTAGCATTGAACCTCAGTTTTCTTTTATGGGTTTATACAAAAACTTGATTTTTTTCAGGTTGCTTTCATAAAATTAGGTTAGTTGAATTTCATTTTTTTGTTTTGGTTTTTTGTGGTTCGAGTATATGATATGTTGAATTATGGAAACTAAGTTTGGGGGAAAGACAAATCTCTTCTATGGTCAAGCAGTATCGGGTTTAAAGGCTGTGGGGAAGAAGAAAATGGAGTGGGACTTGAATGACTGGAAATGGGATGGCAATTTGTGTACTGCCACTCCTCTAAATTCGGTGGCAGATTGTAGAGGTTTGTTTCATGTTGGACAAAATGTTCAGGCTAATAATGGTGCAATGGATGGAGATGAAATGACGTTGGGGAATGAGAGAGAAAAGAGTGAATTGGAGAAAAGGAGGAGGGTTACTGATGTTGAAAATGGAGAAGTGAATGATGAGAGTGGATCACTTAATTTGAATATTGGGGGCCAGGTATATCCCATCACACGAGGGAATGGGGATGTAGATAAATGGGAAGGGAAGAGTGGGAAGAAGTGTAAAATCGCTGGTGTATTGACTAATGGTGCAGTTTGTCAAGTAGAGGATTGTAGAGCAGATTTGAGTAATGCCAAAGATTATCATCGACGACATAAAGTGTGTGATGTGCATTCTAAGGCCACCAAAGCTTTGGTGGGAAATGTTATGCAGCGATTCTGTCAGCAATGCAGCAGGTCAGTTTTCAAATAAGGCTCCCTTTGGAGATATTTTATTTTTCTGTTTGCTTACCTTGGAGGCAGGAATAACACTTGTGTATTTGTCGAGTGTACATTTACTTTCCAACTGTCTAGCTGCTGTCTGTATGGATTCTCATAAAATTATTGGCA